TAGCAGGCACCTTTCTTCCCATCAGTGCCTGTCTCCCCCCACAGATCGGTTCAACGTGTTCCTGCTGCCCTGCCCGAACCTGGATGTGTACGGGGAGTGCAAGCTGCAGATCACCCATGAGAACATCTACCTCTGGGACATGCACAACCCCCGAGTCAAGCTCATCTCATGGCCCCTGTGCTCGCTGCGCCGCTACGGGCGCGATGCCACCTTTCTTCCCATCAGTGCCTGTCTCCCCCCACAGATCGGTTCAACGTGTTCCTGCTGCCCTGCCCGAACCTGGATGTGTACGGGGAGTGCAAGCTGCAGATCACCCATGAGAACATCTACCTCTGGGACATGCACAACCCCCGAGTCAAGCTCATCTCATGGCCCCTGTGCTCGCTGCGCCGCTACGGGCGCGATGCCACCAGGTTCACCTTCGAGGCCGGCCGGTAGGACGCTCCTCGCTCCGGCTGCACGTCTGCCCGGGGCGGGGGCGGGGACCTGCGGCGCTCAGGCTGTGCCGGGCAGCGCAGTGAGTGTGGACGGGGCCAGGACCCCCCTCCAGCCGTGCTGGCTGACTGAGCGCTTGGGTGCAAGCCGGGACGCGGGTCAGGATCCCCTCCCACCGCTCTGCCAAACCCCCACCGCTCCGCAACAGCCCCCTCTGACTCAGTTACAGCTCGGGACTGCGGCTCGCGCCGGCGGCGCTGGGAAAGCTTGGCTCAGCCAGGCCTGGGTCGATTAGGGACTGTCCCCCAGCTGGAGAGGCGAGAAACCTGATCTTCCCTTTCATGCTGGACCTTCCCATCCATGACTCATCACTCGGAGCGTTTATAGAGTGAGAGGAACCCTCCTCCTCGTCCATCTGTCCTGGCGCCTGCAAGAAACACGCTGCTGGTGCTTTGGCAACAGAACCTGGCTTGGTGACTAGGAACGTGCTATTCCAGCGTGTACCCTAGGTGCCAAGGGAATCTTGCAAGGGGCTGTGACCATGGGGAAGGCTCACTTGAGAAGCCAGAGAGCAGAGGCCCCCCACTTGTGGGGCAGCCCCACCACAGGGGCACAGAGGAATGTTTGGGGAGGGCAACGGGGCGGGGTGGAAGGGCGGGGGCAGGGAGGGATGTGCTCTTGGCCACAGCCGCAGGCTCTGCCTCCACCCACCTTTCCATATTCCCCCCTCCCCTCTCCCACCGAGGGCAGATGGACAGCAGTAAGGGAGGGCATAAAGTGAGCAGTCTGGGGAGCACTGCCCTAAAAGGGCCAGATTTTCAGAAAAGGCTGATCCTTCCTTCCCTGAAAACCAGGCCCCTTTAAAGTGCCTCAAACTGGGAACCCCAAATCATTCGCTCAGGGGTGGGCAAGAATTTTTGGCCGGGGGCCACTTCAGAAATTTTTGAAAAGGCCCTGGGCTGCCCCAGAAAGGACGGGGCCTCAGGAGAAGGGGGCAGGGTCAGGACACTTCCCTGCCCACAGACAGGGGCACAGAGGGTCTGTGGTCTGGGGGTGGGGGAACGTGTTCTGAACAGCTGGCGGTTTCCTCCAGGTCACTGTTTCTTAAACTGTGTCAGTCGGAGCTGTGCTGCGGAGAACAACAGAGTTCAAAATGGCCACCCTTAAAGGGGCAGGTGACACTTTTTTTTTGCTCAACAAAAAATCCTTGGTGTTCTTCATGAAAAAAAATTATTGCTTGGTGTTCCTCGGTCTTAAAAAGTTTAAGACACATTGCTCTAGGTGCCTGCGTCCCTGGCGGTGGGAGATTTCGCACGCTCCCCCCACTTGTCTCCAGGTCAATCAGGGCTTGAGGGCAGGGGAGCACGTGAAGTCTCCTCCCGCCTGCCCCTGCCCTGCAAGATGCGGTGCAGTCCTGGCAGGGCGGGAGGAGATTTGCATGCGCCCCTGTCCGTAGGCCCCGATTGGCTAGGGGCTGGGGGAGCGACAGATCCTCCATGGGCCAGATCAACCCGCTTGGCAGCCGGATCCAGCCCACAGAGGCCCTTTTGCCCACCCCTGTATTAGCCACTGGTGGAAACGTAGGTCTGGCTTCCACTAGCACGCAGCATCTACGCCCTAAGCTGAACAAGAGCTTGTAGGCTGAGGCCCTCTGGAAATCAGACCCTGGTGCAGCATCAGTATCCAGTGGGGCCCAACAGCTTGGAGTGGGACGGGAAGCCTGCTCTTGCTGGCCTCTCCTGGGTCCATCTGGAGGCCGAAATGTGAATGAACAATGGGCAGAACCAACTGATCTGAACTTGGCCTTGATGGTCGTAAATCGAGGTGCCTCTCGTGACCCTCTGTGGTCCGCTCCCAGGGCCACGTTGTGACCAAGTGGGGATAGCCTGGTGTAGGAATAGTGTGACGGAGGGCACACGGGGGTGGCTGTAAGCGTGGCGATACCGTGCGTGCGTGTGGCACAAGCAGGACGGGTGTGCCCCCGGGTGACGCTGTACATCGATGTCCTCTTGCTCAGCAGGATGTGTGACGCGGGGGAAGGGCTCTACACCTTCCAGACGCAGGAGGGCGAGCAGATTTACCAGCGGGTGCACAGCGCCACCCTGGCGATCGCGGAACAGCACAGGCGGGTCCTGCTGGAGATGGAGAAGAACGTCCGGGTGAGTCCCCGGGCACAGCAGGTTCGGGGAGGAGACCAGGGCAGGGGATGGAGCTCGCGCTGGGAGAGCTGATGGTTGGCAGATGTGCACACCGCTGCCGGCGGTCTCGCGCACCACACGCTGACCTGAAAGGGATCGTGTCGGCGTGAGGAGCCCCCTTGGGATGATCACTAGGGCTGGGGATCCATACGGTGGTGGAGGGAACCGATAAGCTACCCGCACTCAGCATGTCAGACCCTCTGCTGAGTGCTTCTGGCTCTGCGTCTCTGCCCACTTAGCTCATGCCGACTTCCTTGTGCAGGCCCACGCCGCGCATGTCCACGCACGAGTGTCACCCCCTTGTTTGCACATCCCCGCACCAGGAACGCCGGGCGCGCCGTTCCTCAGAGGCTACCCACTTCGTTCCCTTCGCATTCACGTCTAGCTTAGTGTGTTACCATAGCAACGTGCGGTTACTGCAGAATGGCCGGAGATGCTGCCGCTGGGCTTTGTGCCGCGTTCCACGGTACCCCGCGGCCGGCTTTCCAGAACGCCAGCACCCTCACCGCTCCTGCCGTAACCCAACACTTTCCTGGTGCAGGGCTCTCCCGGGCGCGGCTAGTGGCGTCAGCCTGTTCCAGGCCCGAGGCGTCTGCGAAGCGCTTGCAAGCTTGTTTGGGTTTCATTTTTCAATAAGAAAAACAGAATCTGTCCCCCCCCTGCAGTGTGGTCGGTACGTCCCATGCGCTATTTCCCTAGTGGAGGGGACATCTCCATTCAGAAAAGCAAGTGGCTATGAATGCTTAACCACGCCATCTCTCTTACAGACCCATAGTCTGCAGGCCTGGCGTTCCAGCCTTATCTTACTGATCTAGCTGATGTGCACTCATAGGCTACGTCTAGACTGCAAGCCTCTTTCGAAAGAGGCTTTTTCGAAAGATACTTTCGAAAAAGCCTCATTTGAAAAGGAGTGTCTAGACCGCTGGGGACCCCCCTGTAATTTTACCTTACCTGGCACGCAGTCTGGATGCTCTCTTTCGAAAAAGCCCTGTTTGCATTCAAGAACGCCTTTTTTCGAAAGAGCACTTTTGAAAAAAGGCGTTCTTCCTCGTGAAATGAGGTTTTCCGCCGTCGAAAGAAAAGCCGCGTTCTTTCGATTTAATTTCGAAAGAACGCGGCTGTAGTCTAGATGCAGGTGAAGTTTTTTTGAAAAAAGGCTACTTTTTTTGAAAAAACCCTTGAGTCTGGACACAGCCGTAGTGATCCACACTTGTCAGGTCTCTGCCCACGGGGAACTTCCAACCTAATCTAGCACCCGTCCACGAGTTACCTGGGTGCGTGATTCTACAGGAGTGCGTGATTCTACAAACTCAGTGCCCAGGCTCAGATGGTAAAGAAGCTGGGGACCCCCCTGTAATTTTACCTTACCTGGCACGTGCTGTATGGATCATTACACATGATCAGAAGCTTCAGTGGGTAGCTGAATTAGTCTGTACAGGATACATTGAAAAATCATAAAAAACAACAACTGGTCTGGAAGAACTTTAAAGACTAACAAACCATGTCGATGGATTATGAGCTTTCATGGGCACAGCCCACTTCTTCAGATGACCGGAGTTTTGAGTTTAGGATGTGCAGACCCAAAATAAATAGGGGAGAAGGGAGAGAGGGGAAGGAAAAAAAATGGAAGGGGGCAGGAAACAAGGAACAGAGGGTATGAAAATATCAAAGGGAAAACCAAATAGGCAGAACTGGTAATCTGTAAGCACCTAAAGATTGGATAGTTAAAGGAAGCAGATAAGGATCATAGGATAGCAATTAGAGAGGAAGGGTACTAACCCAAGAACCTCCAGACAAAGAACCTCCATTGAAGGTTTGCTTGATAATGTCCCAGCCATCCCTTAGCTCGTTAACTCGATTGAGGAGCATCAGTGTGAGATTGAATTTGTGGATGAATTGTAATTCCAACGCTTCTCAGTGTACTTGTAGTAGAATTGGTTTGTGACAAGGCAGCCACTTGGAGAGCTTTTAAACAGTGATTAGTGCATCTTGTGATCACAGCTACATGGGGGTAAATGAATATTATAGGCCCCAGGGGCCTGGTCCCTGGGGGTAAAACAAAGGCTCGACTTGTTTACTCACACGCTCCGGTGTAGCGGGACTCCGGAGAGGACTCTCGTTTTCCTGATGTGCATATTT